CGCGCGCACATATTGATGTCACCTCAATTTATACCTCTAGGTAACTTCCCCCAGTGGATTCATATAGGTGACCCTGGGGAACCCTTAGCGTGATTGCCAAGGCACAAACCAGTCATCTTCCATCACCACCTTCTGGAATTGGCCATCTAAGTAGGAGCAGAACCACTGCAACACAATGCCTCCAACTCCCAGCCCTGACAGCCTAACCAAAAGGCTGTTGATGTCAAAGGCTGCTAGGTGCTTCAAGGAATCAAAAAGGCCACCCTCTCCTAAGAAAGGTCATCCAAAAGGGTGAACAAGGTAGATTCTGTTCCAAAACCAGGGCTGAAGCCTGACTGAAATTGGACTAGATAATCCTTTTCATCCAGGAGTGCTTGGAGTTAAGTGACAATTACCCATTCAAGCTCTTTGCCCAGGAAGGGAATTTTGACTACTGGTTTAATATGATCCCAGCCCAGGTTAAACTTTTTAGAAGTGGTCTAATTGGCATCTCTTTTAAAGAGACTGGCACCATTCACTCTCCCGAGATGTTTATGACCTCCTGGACAAGTCTCACATCTCCTCCTGATTGGAAAGAATAAGCTATGGAGGGCAAGGGTCAAGCAACAGGTGGTTGACCACCTGTTGACCCAACTTGGCCAAGCACCTTGTTCACATCCTTGGGCCTCAACAACTGGAATTCATTCAATAAAGCTAAACCAGACTGTGCTCTGGTCAGCTCTACTAATGGAACTGCCTTAATTGTGGTATCCAATTAATGATGAACCTGAGCAACCTTGTCTTCAAGAACTTGTCCCACTGTGCTACTGAAGCTTCTGTCATTTCTCTCCCTGCCCCAGACTGCAGCAGGATACAAACCACTCAGAATCACTCTGCTTTCAAAGGCAGCCTCATGTATAACAGACCTGTATAATTTCATGGCCAACAAAGAGGCTGAGCCACTTCAACAACCAGCTAGTTTTTGCCTGGCTGAAACTAGAAAAAGTAAGAATGCATGGGTATCACAATCCTCTTATCCTGGCCCACTGTCAAGTGATATTGGTGGCACCAGTCTCTAAAACGAGCTGGACAATTAGTCTCGTCTTGCTGTGCAGGTTTCATTGTATGGGGCCTGAATTGGTGTTGTTGTGGGATTATCACTGACTATACATGATGTTGGTCTTGATAACACAATTGTACACTAAGTTAAAATGTCCAAAAACAAATAGAAAAACAGACACAGGAGAGACAGCTGAGCTACTAAGTTGAAGTGCACATATGTTAGAAAAGAAACACAACATACATCAAGAAACAGGCCTACAGAGCTTACACCAAGCCTTCAAAACTAGTGATCTGAGCACAGCTTAACACCAACTATGTCCCATGCAAGTATCCTTGTTTTTGCAGTCTTGATCAGAGATGAAACACGAATCCCCAGTTTACTGAGCCCCCAACAAACATGAGTCACAATTGAGTTACCCTGGAGAGCTAGGAATATAGGAAACTGCTTTTCCGTGAGTGTTCTCTACACTGTATTGTTTACACTGATGGTCAGTATTTCTCTAGGCTTTTGAATAAGGGCTCATTCACACATACCAGAGATTGAACTTGGTATGTTTTGGCAAACAAAGCATAAGCTCTACAACCAAGATATGTCCATTCCTCTGAAGGTAGGCTATTATTCATTTTTAAACCACTACTGGCCTGATGTAAGTCTATCTTTCTTTTACTATTGCTGTCAGGAATATGCAATATAAACCATTGCCCAAATATACAGTTTGTTAACATTTCATAAATCTAAGAGAAGATATGACTGCCAAGTCCAATCCTTGAATGGATTTTTTTAAAGCAAAGCCTGGAAGCATCAAAGCTTTTCCTACAGCCTTTCTTAGTATTTGTTTGACTATCTGTAAAACCTGGAACTAATAAAATATTTTAGATAAATGCAACACAAAGATATAGATCAACAAAAAACCACAGCACAAAACGAATGTTTCTAGATACTATAAAGACATGTATAAAATGCACTCAGCAAAGTATCTTTTATCTAGGACACAGTGGTGCTAAAAATACACAGTTTTAATCCTGGATGAGGATTAAAGTTCTTTGTAACAGAAAAGAGAGAGAAAGATTACATCCATTCCTATTCATCACTTTGTTTGCTAGAAATTATTCTGCTATTTGTTAGTTTTCATTGTCTAAAAAGAAATGCCTCACTCTAAAATTTCTAGCAAGCAAGAGTAATTGAAAAACTCAACTCCTCCTCCATTTATTCATCTATATCATATGCTTGCAAATGTCATGCACAAGCATGTAAGATATACAAAGCCTTTTTTTTCTTTTTTCAAGGAGAGAGAAGTGGCTCTTCTTCATATAGACTGAAGGATGAAATACTTGTTAGTACACAAGCTCAATGCAGAATTTCTCTGATCTCATCATGCTATATCATCTGCACAAAGTACAGATAGTTTACTAAAGATCAAATTGACTCTCTGTAGTACCTTTCACTGTCTTTAGTTATATGGCCCAGTTTTGCCAAATCAACCAAGCAAGAAAACCGCCCTCCAAAGCCATTTGGCTAGCAAAAGGTGCATGTATGCCATAGTGGTGTACAACTGAAAGTCTGACCAACTGTATGCTTTGCTTCACCACTGCGTCTGTGCAGTGTATGAAGCTAAACACATTTAGAAACAAATGAGATACTTGATCAAATCCAAAAAGGTGCTTACTATGCAGTTTCCCTTTTAAACGTTGCACTTCTCACTATGCAAGTTTGTGTTTTCCAGAGAAAAGAACTGATCAATGACAAGGGTCTGTTGCTGATCTTGAGAATTAAGACATTGACTGTAGGGGGGATAAGATGATAATCATTTGGCATTTGAATTTGTGGGGGAGGGTTCTTTTTTTTTCTTGGATGCTTTCATCTGAAATCCCATGTCAAACACAGCTCCTATGGTAGTTTCTCAGGAGGCCCTGTAACTGAATACCGCCTCTCAAGACATCAAAACTACATTGAACATTTGGGGAGTTCTGTACTAAATAGTGTCAAATAGCACATTTTGCTAGAAATTAGTGGTTTGACAAGAGGTTTTCAGTGATGACACCTACCTGATCTGGATTAGTCAAATATAATTGCCAAATGTAAAGGAAGAAGACTGGTGGAAAAATGAAAAAGCAGACCCGTTTTGATTGCTAGCTGAATCAGGGTTCCATACAAACTAAATTTAATTTCATCTGAAAAATTATCACCAGTGGTTATTAACTCCTTGCAGATAGCAAAGTATGTTGACTAGGATACCTTAGTGGAGCAACACATGCATTTTTCTCTTACAGTGGGATTCTATTTCCACCCTGTTCCCCTTACTCCACCACCATAACTTGTGCTCCATTCAGAACAATTTCTAAAGTTCTGCCAAGATTTGGTAATGTTTTATTATGGCCAGAGGCTGCATTCTAGAAGGAAAAGGCCCCAAAGCTCTGCTGATAAGGCTGAACTTCTGTTCTGGCAGAAATCCCCATACAGTCATTTGGATCCTGGTTCTAGCTGAGCTTGTTTCCTACTGGTTGCTTTTGACAAAGCACTCTATTAATTCTGTTTCACTGGCAACCCAATCTTAAGCATGTTTACCTAAATGATAAATTGTACCAAATGCAATAGGAATTACTTTCTGATATGCATGCTTAGGACAGTACCCCAAGTTACACTTTTGTATTTTTTTCATGTTTCAAATTCAAATACCTGAGTAATCCAAAAATATTTCATCTTTAACTGCCAAGATGCATTTTATACAGGAAGAGTCACTATCATGCATAGGTTAACTGCCAGTTTCTATGTTTGCCCAATACATATTGCTAAGATTATTAATATACTATTTTCTGATCCAGGAAGTGTACTTGCGACTCTTCGGGTGTTTTGGACTACAGCTCCCATGGACCCTCACTGTTAGCTATGCTGGCTAGAACTCTTGGGAGATGTAGGCAAAAACATCTGGAAGCTCTCAAGTATAACACCCTCATAATCTGAGACAAATTGCTATGCTGACTGAATCAGATTATCCAACAGAAAAGTACAATGTTACTTGATCAGTATCTAAATATTTTAATGCAAGAGAGGTGATGCAGACCTTTGTGACAAAACCTTACGTTCTTTGGGCATTTGTCGGGGACTCCTGGGTGAAACTATGAGTAAAGAAAGTCCAGATGCCTGAAAAAAGCTTGTTCACCATATTCTCCTACAATCTGTGGTCTCAGGGAAATGTTAATATATTCTAAAGCAGTGGCAACCTATACTGTACACTCCAGATGTTAGACTGTAACTCCCATTAAGACCTAGCCAGTATCACCAATAGTGAAGGATTATAGGAGCCGTAACCTAGAATTGGTCTAGAGTACAAACTCAACTTCTTTGACATTTTAGTATTCTCTTAACATTTTAAATATGATTTTTCCAGTCAAATGCATGCATATTGGAAACAGATTTTTAAAAATCAGCATGCATGTAATGTTTACAGAGTGAACTTAGAGATTCATATACAGTCTTTCTTTTAAAAAATAGCCTTATAATATATACCAGAAAATACACAATAAAAATAACATCCATGAACTAATAATTTTAATATCCATATACTTGATTTTCATAAAATGTAAATCATATAACAGAGAGTAAAGAAATTAACTCAGATATACCTCAAATCCACACAAAACTAACTGACCACTATTCCCTGTCAGTCAATATATCAATTTATTGCATTGCTTTTCCATGTAATGAAATTATAGTAGCTTTCTTCCTTCAAATGTATATTCTGTATGGTTTTTGGTTGACCTGCCATTAAAGCTACAATAGAAAAACTGTTTAGCTTCCCTATTTTTTTATTTTTGATACTTAAATCCTTAGTTTAATATTTGGATATTACCAGCTGCAAACAATATGAGAATGTAACTAGTTTGTTTCCACTGAATAACTAAAAAAAAACAGTCAAACATTTCACATTAATTAGTTTCAAAAATGTTTAGTAACATTATTAATAATAATAATAATAATATGAAGAAACATGGATTCTAACCACTTTGTCCTCCTTTAGGAAAGCATCCAGGGAAGCAGAGAAAGAAGAAAAATATAGAGGAAAGAGAAAAAAGAAAAAGGAGGAAACGCATTAATAGGCAGATATAAATAATATAATTCTAGCATTTTTGTAAACATAAGATTTGAAATTAAAATACTTGCAAAACCACATGCATAGAGTCACGATATATAAGAAACACAGACTAATGGCAAATTAATTTCAAAACATATTTAGTGCTAAACTTTTCATCCTCTGCCTTCATCAGCAGCTGCAATCTTAAATGGATACCATGGTACTAGTTTGGAAATGCAATGAAAATTCCCAGTTAGAAAAACAGAGATGTGAGTGGTGTAAGACTTGTGAGATGTGCTCTGAACAAAAAAAGGATGCTGACAATATGCTTGGCAATAAGGAAAGCTACTGGATCTACAGGCTCAGAATTTTAGGCCTGGTTCACACGACGCAATAACCTACCATGAGCAACCAGCCATTGCTGTGTCAACCGAACCCAGACCATCTTCATCAGGGTGACATGTTTTTCTCAATAAGTCAGCCTGTTTTCCTTTACTTATTTTCCATGCAAACCATCATGAGATTTTTAATGACTGATCGTATAAGTTATAAATAAATATAAAATGAAATGAAATGAAATGAAATGAAATAAAATAAAATAAAATAAAGACCAGCTAGCTGTAAATCCTCTGTGCTCCACTAAAAATAAGTAGGCTTCAATTTTCCATCTTTCTGAGCATCTAGTGTATCAGGACAGTGAAAAGCTTAGGGGCACTAGGACCTATCGGAAAACACATATTCCTTCGAGGATCACAGTGCCAAGGGTGAGAGAAAATCTCTATTCCATCTTAGCTTTGAATTCACAGCTAGAATTTTTACAGCTGTCAAAACAAAAGATTGAGATCCTCTCTGGGTCCATGTTCTTGTTTGGCAACTGCTGCATTCTGACAGCAGGTACCCCCCGGACAATACCAAGGTGAAGCTTCCCTGTGGAAATGCCCACACAAGCATCTCTAGAATTGCACAAGTACAGCCACAACAAAATGAAACTTTGCACTCATTAAAGGGGGAATGACATAAACCACTGGACACTTTGGAGGGGTTGCTTGTGCACTTTGGAAGAGCTATCAGTGGCTGCCAGAGACTGAAAAATGATACAGTTCCTGGGGAAAAATGGAAAAAAAGAAGGGGAAAGCAATAGGATCCCATAATGGCTCCTAACCAAGACTGTCTGGAGTTGCAAAGTCCCCTGGGATGCCAGCTGGTGGATGAAGGGGGAAGGAGGGGAATCACAATCCACAATGAGCCTAATCATTTGTCAGGCACACCATAGGTTGTTCTCACAACAACCCATCCACCCTGGCTTATTGCAAACAAACAAACAGTAACTCACCCATCCTGGCTTATTATGTTGCACAAACTTTTCCTTATTCCGTTTGGCCATAATTTTAAGGACAATTCATAAGCTTTATACTAGTCACACCTCTGTTTTCCTTTTTCTTAAGAATTTCAAAATGCCGCTCTTGGTATTTATTTAACATCACAGCCATTGATGAAAGCAGAAGCCATTTTTGCATGAAATTTATTTTGGAATTACTCCATTGTTAATCTACCTAACTTTTACAAATACACACACAATCACAGATACTTGAAGGGTTTTTAGTAGAAAATAAAAAAGTACAGTGGAACAGATACGTAAGGATTCAGCTCTCCAGTTCTGATAGCTCAGCTGGAAATCAAAAGCTCCATATAAAAAGCCACCATGTCACTGAGACTTTTCTTAGCATTCTTCCTGCTGTATCCTGATACTCAAAAAGCTGATCCTCAAAGTCAAGAACCCTCAGAAATAGGCTTGTCATGGCACGAGGACAATGAGAAAATGGGCAATTCACACGTGCTTCCATGGAAGCACATTTCACTGACTGAGCAGGGAGTGGCGTTGGGTCCCAGCCAGTGACTTTCAAAGGACCTAGGACTGCATGCTATTTTAAAGAAGGTATGATTGGATTTGGTGGGCTTTCTGTCAGCACAATGTCACACAGGGACAATGCTAAGACAAATAGTCCCAGTCCCTTGTCTGACATAGGACTAGCCAGATACTGTAGTCCCAATAGGCCCAACTCCCAAATGTAAGTGTGATGCCTATCTTTATGCTACCATTTGTCCTGGACCTTCACTGGTGCTGACTGCAAGCCTTTCCTTAGCTTCTAAATAAATAAATGCAGGGACGTGGACTTTCAGCCTGTGGGTCTGATACAGCCTGCAAGGTTTCCTATCCATCCCATGAGCTCTTCTTTCAGCAGATGTGACACAGGTGAAGTAGTAGGCTGTCCTCAGCTTTACCCAGAATGTGCCTTCCCCACTAGGGAGGACACACTGTGGGGAAGACATCCCAGCACAGGCCAGGATGTTGCACTGCTTTGCCTACATCACAGTGCAACCAAGCAGACACCGTTGATACAGACGCTGGAGTGGTCCTCCAGCACCTGCCTCCATCAGTGCACCTGATCTGTGCTGGACCGATCCCCAGCCAAACAAAGCCCATGCGCAGCAAAGCCTGCCTCGAACTTGCTGGAGGCACAGCCAGCATTGGTTGGGTTCTAGATGACTTCATAGTGTGGGCTCTGTGGGCATCCCTTGGCTGTCAGGGCCAGATGGCAGAGGGTCACTCACCCCACATCTCAAAACTCTCCCCCCATCCTGCTTAACCTGACATATCTGCCTTCCTGTCCAGAGATTCAAAGATCAATAGGACTGAGTTGTGGACATTTGTAAGAGCACACCATAAAAAGGTCATTGCAGGTATGTTAATTGGCAATCCTTATTTTCAGGACATTTTAATTTCTGGTCCAGAATTTCTGGTCCAGAGTCAACAACTGGGAGGCTCCGTTGGCCTAAACTGCCTGCCTTTGTTCTTTCTATGTTGGTCACTTGCATTGCATCACTATACAAATTCCCCAAAGTTGCACCTAACTAGTTCTGGTGCTTTTAGAGACATCTGATAGGCACACCTCCTAATCAAAGATGCCTCTGAAGCCTCTTCATCATCACAAAGGACTATGGGAAATCCTTTCACTATGTATTAGGAGGGCCATGTGCCTTATTTTCTAGCATGGAGCTACACCATTCCTGTCCTCCTTAATGCCAGTGAGGCCCAAGCTGGGGGCTCTGATCCTGCGGAAGCCTGCTGAGGAGAGCCTAGGCCTTAAAGGGTGATGCAGTAGGCCAGTGCCACTTCAGAGAAAGATGGTGCCTGCGTAGATGTAACCTTTCATAATGCCATGAACTAAAAGTGATCATGTTTTCATGTAGTGGCAATACTATTATATTTTAACCACCCAGAAAGCTTTGGCTGTGGGGCTGCATAGAAATAAATAAATATTGGTTTATTGATTTATTGACTTACATTGCAAACTAACCAGTAACCAAGGTTCTTTGAGCACCACACACATTAAAAACATAAAATATGAGATACTGATAAAACAAGGACAGTAAGCACATCAAATAAAAGCAACATAAAAAATAAAAAGTAAAAGCAACATAAAACCACTGGCACAATAAAACCACATGTGGAACAAGAATGTTGTCCCTGCTCCTCTAGCGCACTGTCCCCGTGTGTTACAGGGACGTGGGCAATTGCACCGCATCACCTGCATGGGTCCTACAGATCAGTGACACCATCACGTATCATCTAGAGGCGCTAATGCGCTACAGCAGGGCTGTGGAAACGTTTCCGCTCCAGGCCACCATGCAAAATGGGAAGTGCCTGAGGGGAGCACCCTCCATGTGTGAGAAGGGTCAAAGGCCAGGTGTGCCGGCCAGGCCTGAAAAAGGCCATTTTCAGCATACCCAGGAGTAAGCAAGGCAAGCCTTCCAGATGTCCTCTTAAAACACAGCAGCCTGCAGAAGTCACACGGGACAAGGAGCATCCTAACAGTCTGGTGCAGAATGTAGACTGTTCAGTTTGTATGTGGTCTGAATGCAGTGAAAAGTCATTCCAATTTATAATTTATTGGAGTAAAGTTGCTAGAGCTTTAATTTAGATACAGAAAAGAAATTCATGGGCACAATGATACTACTGTGATTCAGGCAAATATTTTATGTACTTCTGGGCTTAGGGTTTTCTCTCTCTTTCACAGCAGAAATACACACATACTCCAGCTAAATGCACCTGGCCAGCCATCTTGATTTAACCGCTGAATTCAATGGTATGTTCAGCAATCATTTGGCCAACTATTTATAGACTAAACCTGGAGATACATCAATAATTATGACAACAAATGGCAGAACTTCGATGTGCGTGCAACACTGACATGCAGACTTTCGCCTTCACACATTCCCCTGCTTGCTTCCACTGCCCATTGCAGAAGAGGACTGGCCAAATCACCAGCAACTGAGGAGCAGAGAGTGCAGGCGGCTTGGTCTGGTCCAAAAGGGAAGCTTCCACATACGAGAATGCACTGAAGACCAGCTGTCTCCAGTTGTAGCCTCTGAAGTGTGGAAGTTTTTTTCTCCTATAGAGAACACCCATATCCAAGAGCTGTTACCAGAAGCAAATTGGCTCCCTGACCCCAGTCATTACTGGAGGAAATACAAATTCCCCATTGGATGTTGTAGCATTTGAATACAATCTGTGCTTTCCTATACAATGAGCTGCTAACTGGATGTTAATTCCTGAATCTCATTCTGGTTTTGTTTCAGAATTGAGATCCAAACACACACAAATAACTTTTCCTTACTTACTTTTGTGCTACATAACCTTTAGCAGAATAGTGCAAATAGCACTTTCAGAATTAGATGTGCATTTTCAGTGCTCTAAAAAAATCACTGAAATTGTTTAGCTACAGAAGTCAGATTGGAAGGTCACAGGATTGTCCAAAGAACCCATAAATGACTCATTTACAAAAGGCTTCCAATGTTAATCCTATGTACAGGAGACATATAGAAATGAAGACGACTCTAAGTACTACTAACACTGGATGTTATCCAGTGCAAGCAAGTAACACCACTTTTACCAATATTATTAATTAGCTGTTACATAAGACTACAGAAAGCTGTTAAGATGGTATAAATCAGAATATATTGTCTATATTTTGTTAATAAGATTTCACACACATGTACAAACAATATGGATTGAGGAAATGGAGAAGAAACATTAAAAATTGACAAAGTGAGGAAATACAAGGGGATAAGGAAAGCCAGTTTATGGAGATAGAAAAGTGCACATCAAACAAAGTATGCTCCAGAAATGGAATTAACTGTGCTTTGTTTACATGCAATAGAAAACTTACATTGTTTGATCGCAGGGAAACACGGCCTCCACATCTGGCACAAAACTTTGTCCGGCAGTAGGAGCATAAATGGCCACAACCATCGGCAAACTTAGTTTTGTGACAGATTCCACACGTCGGGGCATCATCTTTGTGTTCTCCTTGGTAACGGCGGGATTCCTCACCTATTTTTCGTACTTGCTCTTTGTAACTTTCAAATTGTTGGTGCAATCTTCTGTAAGGAAAATAAAACTTTTTATAGCAAGAGCACTAGCTCAGGTTTACTTATTGAATGCATAGCATTGATACTTTAGCATATCTTTCCAATGCACCACATCAAAACACTGAGCAAGTGTCACATTGTTTTTCTGCCACACTCATCACATTCTAACTTCTAGGAAATTTAGAAGTCCATTGCTTGTCATTCCTAAATTTACTCAGTTCTACTCATTACTACTTTCAATAGAAGATTTCAGTTTCTTTTGACATTGTTCATAAGCATTCTGTCATTATTTTGCATATAATATTTTCCAGTGAAAGTTGTCCTATATACTACATATCACACCTGCCACTAAGTCAAACAAAACAGAAAACGTAAACAATTATCATAAATTCTTGGCTTAACTCCATAGTCCTCACTTATACTAAAACAAACCAGTACTTCAGTGGAATAACTTGTACTCCTTCATCAATAACTGGCCAGACTGAGGAAGAGAATCAGGCCTTGAAGCCATATCAGCAGAATTTAAGTGAGATTGGACCCTTTAGATCACCAATGGCCCAATTACAATATGCAGGTGTAACACTCCAAATTTGATTGAAGTAGTGGCACCAGGGTGGGAGTATTTCATCATTTCATCCTAACTATTTTTTTCCTTTGGACCTGCCATTAGCCTCAGTGAAGGGAAATGTATTGTGTTCGCTTGTTTATCGCTAACGGGCACAAACTTGGTTTAGAAAAATATCTTAGCAGGAAATGATTAAACACATGCACTCTCCTCTAGCACCAGTGATCCATTCCAATTTGGTCAAACATATGCTTTGAAGTAAAAATACATTTCAAAAATTAGGCATTTGGCCTGAGATCTTAAGCTCTGCAGAACTTCTGCCAGCAATTCTTTCCTGAGCTTGTGACCCTGATGGGGCTGGGCATAAGGAATAGTCAGCAGGTCTGCAGAACTCATGGTGTGAGCACAGCAGTGCCTTGCAATAACAGCAGATGTGGAGCTCTAAACCCTACAGATTCAATCTAAGCATGCATCTGATGTGCTTCTCGATGGGTTGCTGCTCCTCATCAGCTTTTGTACAACAGCTCCGTCCCCGCTCTTATTCATACCTACTAAATATAAAATATTGGGTTCCCATAAATAGGGACCTTAAGAAGCAAGCAACACAGCCACTTCCCTTTGATGAATACTTCTTTACATATACCACCTCCATCCCATTAGAAAGGCATTCCATTCCGTTCTTTAAACTCAAATTGTAGTCAACCAAAATCTCATGCAAGGAAAGGTTTCCAACGCTAGTGCCTTATACTAATTTGTCCAGCAGATGGCACCAGAGATTTTCATATCACCTAGACCTTACTTGTTTGGTTTTAAGAAAACTTTGGGATAATAATAGCCTAATCTTTTGTTACAGACATCCCTTGGTAATTATAAGAAAATATGTTGCAAGAAGTTGGCAGTGCCAACTTGTATGAGGAGGAGAACAGAATATATATTTATTCATGTGCTTGCTCAGCTTAAGGCCTGCAGAAACCTCAAATTGGTGTGCTATTTCAAAAGCACTTTGCAGTAGTGTGCAAATTATGGTATCTGCTCACAAGGGCCTATTCAGATCACCTCTTCACCACAAGTATTCTCAGATCTTGACAAGCAGAGTAACTGGCCACAAGCATGATTTACAATCAAATACTTTGTTCACGTCATTCATCATATTTAGAGAAAGGACCATCTTTGCATATTTTCCTTATCTCTAATGTTTTATCAAATATATTGAAATAAATGTTCCTATATATATTCAGGCTACACCTAAGAGTGGGAGAGGAAGTGGGTGGAAGAGGGAGTGATAGAGGGAATGAAGGGTCCATTTGGTGGGAAAGTATTTTAGGGTGTAAGCCTGCACACGTTTAGACAGAGCAAAGCCCTACAGCTCTCGGCATGCCCAGCCAGCCTGTCTCTTTCTCGAGGAGCTCCAAAAGCCATGGACCGCTCAAGAGAGCCACTTCTACAATGCTCACCCCTGCTCCATCCACCCCAGCCTGCCTTTCCAAAGAACTTACCTGCCTACAAGTTAGTCTAAGCAAGGTATCACTCTCAAATGCATTTTGGAATTTTTATTTTGGTCAACACTTTCCTTTGCAACATTGGCTTAAAAAAATGTTTTGTATGTCTCTGCGCACAAGACAGCCCTTACTGAAACAGCTTGGGGTTTGAGGCCCCTTTTATAGTGAGGGCGATTTTTGTCCCCCACCACTGTACACTTGCAGAAATTTAAAAATGTTACAAAATTAATAGATTAATGCTTAGATTAATAGCCATTGCTAGCCATGGTCTTGATTCCAATACAAGGATACAAAAGTGGGAGCTATTAAATGTCTTCGCATTGATGTGCCTTGCAAAGGATTTCCTGTAAACCCCTCTTTCCACGAAGAACTCTGGAATTCAGTTGCACAGTCTAGAGAGCATGTGTGGTCTAATGGTTAGACTAGGACTGGGGGGAGCTGGATTTTAGTTCCCACTAGAAGCTCACTGAGAGTGACCTCAGTCCAGTCACTGATCTCAGACCTGGTTCAGACAATTTGATGATCTACCTTGTTTTTCCTAAACAACCCATCCTGAGAACCCACAAGCTGTTCCAATGTTGTTGTCACCTATAAGGGTTGTTGTGTCAGCTGAACCCTATGAGTCCCAATAGCCAGCAAGCCACCTTGGTAACAGCAGCAAAACTTCCTTATTTAAGCTTTTTTATATTGTCCGTTAGCTCCCAACCCCCCGCAAAAAAAAAGAAAAAAAAGCTTTCAGCCTGATGTATACTAAAAGCATATACAACAATACACAATACCAATTAATAACTTTGATGTCAATAGGACATCTACACAGCCAACAAAGTTCAAACATAAGCAATAATTTGCGAAAAATAATAAAAATGCATACTACTCTTGACAAGTGGCTGCAGAGTACCACAATGCAGGTTGATGGTCTGTTGGACTCCTCCCAGAACAACCCACCCACAATGGCTTCTTGCCTGAGTGGGTTGCTGTGTTGTGCAAACTCAGCCTCAGCCTGAATCAAGTTATACAGTACTTGTGAGAGGAAAGGATATTTATTTATTTATTTAAAACATTTCTATGCCACCCCCATGGCAACAAAGCCTCGGGGCAGCTCACAAAGAATACATAAATACATACATACATAATGATAACAAAAAAAATCATTTAAAAACCCCCAGTGCATTCTCGGCTAAAAATTTTAAAATCCTAATTAATTCAATAATTTAACAATTAAAATAAGTTTTAAATAAAAAGGTCTTAGCCTGGCACCGAAAAACAAATAACGACGGTGCCAGGCGGACCTCTCTGGGGAGCGCATTCCATAAGTGGGGTGCCACCGCGGAGAAGGCCCTCCTCCAGGTACTCACCCTCCTAGTATCATTCACAGAGGGTTCCCGGAGAAGGGCATCCATTGCTGACCTCAAGGGGCGGGAGGGCATATGTAATTATGCATGCTGCTTCAAGCCCATTAGAGGAAAGAACTGTCCACGACATAACAAAGAAATAATGTGGCAGTCTGCTTTGCACATTACATGTCATGTTGGCATTCTAAAAAGATATGGAAGGGATCTACCATACACAGAAGGTCACATAAAGTGGGTTACTGTTGAATTTTGTTTCTGCATAAAAAAAACTTTAATAACAGCAACAGCCTAACTTGTGCTCTCTACCCCAAAAGCTACAAAAGAGAATGCCTACTGAAAGACAAAGGCACTTCAAAAGCCATGGAAACTGAAGAGGTACAGTGATGTATGGCAGTTCAAATATAGGAAGCTAAAACTGTAAGCTTCCTGCTATTCTTTCCCTAAGGGTTCACTGGTAGATGTTCAACCAGGAAGTCTTTCTCCAACCAAGCCAGCAAGAATTATTACAGCCCTTCTTTTTCCTCCTCAGGCTTTTCTATATCAAAGATGATAAAATGCCTTGTGAACTCTCCATCTCATGTGGTTTCTTCAAACCCACATTTACTATTGAATCCAACCATGCACTTCTAAGAAGTTTCTGCTTCTGAGTGAAATGGGATATGAGTAGGGACGGGGAAGAATTCTTACAGAAAGAACCTGAATTTAACTGAGAATAGCTAATATGGGAGGGGGCAACAACAATTCCTCAAGACCAACTCAAGTGGTTTGAAACCGGGAAGTTGTTTTCCCTGAGCAGAAAGACCTTGCATGGCTGTTGAAGGCCATTAGAGAAGTCAGCTCCAGAGTGCACGTGCCCATCTCAGTCCCAGCACCCAAGGTCAAGGCAAGCAGGAAGAGGTCCAGTGTGGGAAATCAGAGACGTTCCACAGTTTTTAAGAAGTGGGACCTTTAATACAACACTGCATTGTAGAGTGTCCTTGTTCAGGACTCCAGCCAGCCAGCCAGCCAGCCATGCTTTTCCATGACACCCCAACCATCGTACCCACAGCAGTTTCCATTTCCTTTCCTCCAACTGTCAATCAGCATTCCAGACCTACTGAACCTGCTCTGTTCTCAATGAGCCATTTTGCAGGTTTCCTCCTCCCACTAGGGTCTCATTTTCCTGCACATCTGTTGTACTTCTGCAAAGCTGGAGTAGCCACATATCCCTTTTGAAGAGAACAGTCCTTTGTTTAAAGGGCTCCTCTATTTGAAAAGCTATCCAGTTTCAGTCCAGTTTAAAGATGTTAAAAGGGGGAGTGGAGGGGCCCTCTAAGCTACCTACCTATCAGCCAGCACCTGGACAGCTGATGGAGGAGTCACCCAGAGCTTTTCCAGGTGGAAAGATCCATGTATCTCCTTATGCTTGCACTGTAGATTTGAGATTTAAGCTCTTCTGGCAAGGCTTTTCCTCTCCTGAGCTTCTACCACATAACCTTCAGATGGTACTGTGGTACCACAAAATCAAACAAATACACAAGCGGAAGCAGTGCTTTCAGAAATAATACCCTGTACTGCATTTTCCATGTTCTAAATGAAACAAAACAAAGCAGAACA